TACATTATTATTAAAACTCTGTGCCTAAATTCCACTTGAATTTGTCTGTATCTCATTGATTATTCTTCTGCCTTTCTTCTTAAGATTAAATGTCTAGTACTTTCCACTTTGAGATATTTATATACTTCAATCATGTTACTTTTCAATCTTTTTTTTTTTTGATAGCTAAGCAGATTGAACTCTTAATGTTCCTTACTGTAAGGAAATTTCTCTGTCTCTTAGATCATGGTTTAGTGGCTTGTTCAATACCTTTTCTAGTACTTTAATGTCCTTTTTAAAACTTGGACACAGAATTTGATTCAATATCAGAGAGCTTGTGTCATTAATACCACATAAAATAATGAAGTGACCTTCATGGTCACTTGTATACCGTTGAGTAACACCGTAGTGCAATGAAAACTTTACCACAACAGTGCTGAGCTCTTCAGACTGAATTCTGAATCTTTCTTCAGACTCTACTTTCCTAGGTACAGTCTGTAACTCTGTAGTTGTGGCCCAAATTCTCAATTCATATATCTATAAGTATTTTTACTCTCTCTCTTTTAAAGTATTCTACTTAAATTAGCTTAACTTATTTCCTTGCCCTCATCAGTATTTATACCTCTCCCATTTTTTTTTTATGATTCTTAAGTTTGAACCAACAGTGACTCTATATTTTATTCCTAGATCACACAGAAAACTGCTGAATATCATCTTTACTGCAGCTCCCTACACAAGCTTTTTGGCTAGAATTTAAAGTGTGGGTACAATCTGCAGAAGTCTATATCTTGGCTATGCAAGGTGTTTTCTTAATTTCTAAGACATTCCACTGTAAATGTCCTAAGCTTGAGCTAACAGTCCTTGGCTCAAGTATAACTTTTAGTCCGTTGTGCACTATCAGGAGCATAAGCCCACCTCTCTTCAGGTCCCCAGTACAAGAAGGATGTCGAACTTCTAGAAAGGGTCCAGCATAGAGAGATGAGGATGATTACAGGATGGAGCATCTATCTCATGAGGAAAGACTAAGTGAGCTGGGCCTTTTTAGCCTGGAGAAGATTGAGAGGGGATCTTATCAACATGTACAAATACCTCTGGGGAGAATGCAAAGAGGATGGCACCAAACTCTTCTCGGTGGTGGCCAGCAATAGGACAAGGAGTAATGGGTACAAGTTGAAATACAGGAAGTTCCATTTACTGTGAGAGTGACAGGCTGCCCAGAGAGGTTGTGGAATATGTTTGGAGGTTCTCAAAACCTGCCTGGATGCCACTCTGTGCCACATGCTCTAGGTGTCCCTGCTTGTGCAGGGGGGTTGGCCTAGATGATCTCTAGAGGTCCCGTCCAACCTCAACCTTTCTGTGATTCTGTTTTAGGTGAGCAGTGATTTATTAGACAGAATGGTTCAAGGACAGTAGCAATCATAGTTTTGGTGATTCCAATTTTCTGTTGATGCTTATTTTTATGAGACAAGCTATTTGGAACAAAAAATTTCAGCCCAGATTTTGATGGTCTAAATAGAGCTGCTCACAAACAATTTTTGAACACATTGCTTGACAATGGAAAGAAATGGATTTTTTTTTTTGGTTGCTTTTCATCCTCTGCTTTAGTTAACAAATTTCTTTTTGATTGTTTAACCATCTTTAATTCAAGCAGGTTTAAAATGTTTGAGAAAAAGAGATAAAGTAATGGTTTGAGTCTGAAATTTGAAAATGGTTTAAATCTCTTAAACTGATAGTAACATTTACCAGTAACTCACAAGATACCCACAATACAAATGCACTATAACAGCTAACATCCTTGCTGACAACTTTTCTTGGTGAAATATAGACCAGAAGACTAAACAGTTAGTCTAGTCCAGTAAAAACCTTAGGCAATAGGAAACCTTCACTGACTTGCCTGTGAACAACTGTCCTGCTTGGTAATTTAAAGCCGAATAATTTATGCTATCCATACGCTTGTCGTAGTTTATTTTTGAATGCATTGTGAAAAGTTTTGATGCCACTAAGTTCTTGGAGAATACATGCACAAAATTCTTAAAAAAAATTGCAACACTTCAGAACAGATTCCCTCTAGATGTGCAGAAAGCTCTTATTCAAATTACACAACTGTAATGTGTATGGAAGAGAAAGGCTATACAGAGAATTCCCAGTAAAACTAAAAGAAGATAGTTTCATACTTCACAAAAACAGTGCAACCTTGTGTGCTTAGCCAAGCCTTATCTTTCAGAGGTAATGTATAACAAAACTGAAAGATCTTTTGGTGATAATCTGTATACAAAAGACAGTATTTTACCAGATTGGCTTTCCTAAAATCCTCTGCCATACTGATCTTGACTAAACTACCAAATCTTGGTCCTTTAAATTAGAAGAGTAGTCCACAAGTCGGCCCAGATAGATCAAGAAGTATTTGCCCAACAGTATCTTGAGATACATGTTTTCAAGTAAAGGGAATTTGTAAGGGCAGAAATCTCCAATTCACAATCAGCTTTTACTCAGGAACACATCAAGCTGAGAGAAAAGAAAAATTTTCCTTGAAGAAAGTTTTAATTATGAATTATGGCTGAGATTGCTAGAATAAAACTTGCTTATGGAAAAAATATTAATTATTCTGAATATATTGTTTTCAGAAGCAGGCAATAAAATTATTCAAGATATTCTTAAACTTAAACTGACTAATTATATTGAATATCAATTGACAATACCATGATGTCACAAAACTGCAAAAACTACATTTGGAAAATTTGTAGTCCCGATAAAAATTTTTTTTCTGTACTCAGCATGAGCTAATGGTAATACTGAATGATCTTAATTTTAAAGTACTTTACTCCATGGAAGCCTTTAAAAACAACAGCAATAAATGCCACAACAGAAGGATTCTAGAAGTTGTTCAGTGATGTGAAAAACAAATTCCCCATTCAGAGAAAGTGATCAGTGTTGAAGCTTACAGAGGCCTAATAGTATAAAAAAGTCTAAACACATATATCTGCTATGCCTATACATATATATATGTATACATATCTGCTTATAGGTCAGTATATGCACAGGAACTTGGTTCCTCACAGCCTTGCAAATATATACAGTGCAGTGAAGTAGATGCCTGTCTGTTATTGGGTTTTCCTGCCTTCTTTCCCCCACTTTATAACCATGTATAACCTCTTATAGAAATAAAAATGACTCCAAGTTGCAGGAGTCATGTTCTGTAAAGAACCAGATCCGCTCAAAAGGTTCAATGATGAAAACAATGTCAGAGGCCAGCAGGATTTTCCCAGTAACTTTAAATTGCACTAAGAAAAGAAAATATTGAGTACTTGCTTTATCAGAGACAAATACCTCATCCGGCCACAAAAAGAAATACAGAACCAGGTTAGCTGCTAAAGGACACTAAAGAAGCATCTTTACTGAAACCAGATACCAAAGTATTCAAAAAAAATTTAGAAATATGCAATCAACCTACTAAAGAATAAACAGTAGATTAGCAATAAGAGGGATAAATGTAATTTTTAACTTTCTAATTTTAGCTAATATTAGAATTAAAGGACTTAATTGCTGTTTTCTAATTAAAAATATAATACCAAAACAGTCTAGATGATGGTATTCTATATGTCAATATGTGCAAGCCTCCCATGCTTGTTACAAAAAAAAAAATCTTAATACGAAAGCCAAAATAAAGTAGAATTATATGTTTTAAGATATTAAATCCAAATTCCAATTTGAAGACAGTTTTTAGCGCACCTACTCTTTTATAATGGAATAGTAACTTTCATGACCTGAATAACCCATGTAATTAAAAATTAATTTTAGTTACTGAAAATATTTATTCAGATGACTGAAAATATGTAGCTATAGAGCTATCATCCAACACACATATGGATCAAAAGAAATTCGAAATGGAAATATCCCTCCCAGTCTTTGGAGAAAAAACAGTATTCTCAGTCCATGCTGAATGTGGCTTGTGCAGAAAAACATACATCTGCAGATGAAACAGACTTTTCTGAACATTATCTATTGCTAACAAGTAAAATTCAGCATTTTAATAAGTTAGAAAATTCCTATGAGTTTTGTGTTAGAAAATTACTATGAGTTTCTGTTCTTTTCTGTATGTAACTCAAAATAAAGATATATTTAAGCACACTTAGAAGAATTAACTGGAGCTAGTATGAATTAATTGTCTTAAAATTGGGTAAGTGAAAGATACCTTCCTGTTTTGGCAATAGATTTTGAGTAGACATCAGTATAACAATGAGTTCTGTATCTTTCTTCAGGCTCTTAAAACCATTTATGATTTTATTTGCATGTTGTAAGATGATATTACTTGCACTTTAAATACATACTGTTATTAACTATGTTCATTTTTCAATACATTGGCCAGCACTCAAGTAAGGTTTCTACAAAAACAGGCTTTTTCTACAATAAAAGACCTTTCTTGGGGGGAATCCACATGGTTGATCTCAGTGCTGATATTCTTCTCTCCTGACGTGTGCAGAACACACTTTAAAATGTCACTGGGAGTTCTGCATATGTGTGGCAAGGAGGCTATATGAGATGACATTTGCCATGTGGCTCTGAGACGAAAATTTTGCCCTAAGATAGTTCCTCCAGTAAGTTTTTTTTTCCTGCACAGTAGTCATTTTTGTTTTAGTGGAAAATGAACCTCAAAAATGATGTTAAAGAATACAATTTGCCACAAAATTATTTGGTATCATATATGTAGATACCATCCTAAAACAATCACTCCCCAAAAAATGGTAGTGGAAATGCTATTCTATAAAAGATCTTGACTATTTCTTTCTGGCATAGGCTGCTACCAAATCACACCCAGTTAAACAGACTGGTCTTAGAGCTGATTCCAAATTATGATCTTCCACATTATTAGCTTTTAAGTACAAGCTAGTTAAAAAGTCAATTTTAGCTTTGCTGTTTTCTTGTTCATACACTATTAAGTGATTAAGTATGAAAAAAAAGTTTTATTCAAAAAAAATCTAAGTTAATTAATTTTTTGTTCTTTTTTTCCCCCTTATTGATAGTTTGGTAGCCACAAAGGAAACAGACAGTGCAAGATCTCGTAGTATGCCAATGTCACCATCTGATTTCCTGGATAAGCTAATGGGTCGCATGTCAGGATACGATGCAAGGATCAGACCAAATTTCAAAGGTAATTTCAAATGTAACCTGTCATGTAATTCAGTATTCCTTTCACACAAATGCAATTTCTGGAACAACTGTAAATATATATATATATATATATACACACACACATACATATAAAGTCTCATTGAAAAAATGTTGCCTTACTTGCCTTATTTTTGCTACAGTCTTTAACTTCAGCAATAACATGCTCTAACCCTGTCCTCACAGTGGCCAAATGTAGTCCTTGGACAATTTAGCTGATCAATAGCTTTGTTTTTTTCTATTTTTTTCTCAGATTTTCAATGGATTTAAATTCCATTTTATAGCCATAGTCTGAGGTATACCAGGAAGCAAGCTCTGTGAAAGGGATATTGCCTAATCTTCAAGACTAATCCTAATCAAAAGTTAGAAAGTGTTAATCACATGACCATCACATCCAAACTCAAAATTTCTGCATTTTTAAATAATATTATCAGTTTTTAGATTTTTCAGGAAAAAAATATTATTAGAAAATATAAAACAACTGTGATGAAAAATAACTCTTGCCTTAGGTGCCTCCTCCTATGTGTATCTTCCTGAATCCAGGAGGTTCTCATATATTTTACTAAATACCAGGTTTTATTCCATATGGGCTATGAAGCTTTTCCATCACTGTTTCCATCTTAATTCTTGCTCAGCACTGAACTTAATGGTCTTTTTATACCTATGGGTCTCAGAACTTATGTAGCTATGCTTCTAAAGCCATTGTTATTTGCTGCTCCTCTTTTTTCTTTTTTCTTTCTTTTTTTTTTTCCACAATTTTTCTGACTCACAAGGATAAAACAAGCAGTTGGGAAAATTACTTCCTCATCAGTATGCCTTTAAAAGTCAGTGCTATATATATAAACTTTATATTCAAGATTTACTACAGCTGGAAATGCATAGCTTTCAATGTTAGCAGTGCTGATATTTCTCAAAAAGAAGAAAAACAAATTGGAAACATATCACCAAAAAGACTTACGTTGTTGATTAACACTCACCATGACTATACAGAAAAACTCCTTTGGAAATACTTCTCAGAAGCACTCTGAAGAAAAGTCCAATGGTAGGTTTCTTGAGCGGTAGGGAAAAATTGGTGTATTAAACAATATTTGCACAGTAATGCAACACACTACTTCTAAAATGGCTTCTTTTATATGTATGGCATCTCTGAAATTATTTTTGCTCTCTTTTAAAGTTATCTTGACTTGTTCCCACACTACATTCCTTAAAATGTAAGCTGCAAGTTCAACCTAAGGTAAAGCTGTGCTAGGCAAAAGAAGACCTCAGGCAAAGTCTAAGCACTGTAGTTTTTCTTCTTTCTTCTGTAAGTCTCCTGAAGTGCTATGAACAAGTGTTTAAAAACAAGGCACTTACATCTTAGCAGTTCATTTGGGGATTGGACTTTGGAGCTTGTCATGGACACCATGCAATCACAATCTTCTGATGGGGTTACACTGAAGATCAACCAGATGGTTTAGAGATTAGTGAATTCAACATAGTGCTTCTTGAATGTATAATTCAAAAGACTCGCCTTGATTCAAGGGCCTTGTTTTGTAACCGTTGAAATTTAAAGAGATAAAAACCTAATTTGACATTGTTCTTTTTCAAAAAGTGCACATTCTAAATCTTCTGGACAGCTATGCAGTTTGAGCAAATCTGCCTAAAATGATTCAGATCTATCACAAAGAATAAGTCTCTCCTTAAGTGACTTTGCCACTTTCTGGCTAGTTTTACTATTCCTAGTACAAGTACTGGATCTTTATGCCTTCTTGATTTCTTAATTTATCAACAGTTTTAAAGAAGCAGAACAACTACTACTAAGAGACGTCAGTCAGCTCATCAGCCCCTCTAAATTGTTTTACTTGTCACTTTCCTAAAATTCCTAGGTAGCCAACAATTTTAACTTCTATCTTTCTGTCATATTTAATCTTGATAGGTAACACATCATTATATATTTTGCCTGACTGCTCTGGTTTTGGATAAGAGATACAGCTTATTTATATTTGCCCAATAGAAAGAACAGACTAAAGAGAAGACTACTGGTATTTATTTAGCTATGAAGGAAGAATTCCTGTAAAATTTTTGTTCACGTTTTATTTCTTTGCAAGTCAAAACTGTATCGAGACGCTTTTACTACTTAGTCCATATCTTATAGTACTTTTTCTCCGTAAAATATGGGGATATCACAATCTAAATATGGGGATATCACTATCATTAAAATATGGGGATAGCATACACTATCTTTCAAATTTAGGCCAAAATATGAAGTCTTTATGTAAAAAATGTTATTGACCCAGTTAGACTCTTAAGAACAGCTTTGTGCAAACAAAAAGGTGAAGGTTGTGTTGCAGCTCTTTCACCCATGAGAATAATCTCATTTTTATTGCTGACATCTTGGGAAATTTTCCAGTAGTACAATGCGGTCAAATAAAACGAAATACTGAATTCCTTCATATAGTTATGTTTCAAAGAGAAAATATCAGCCTTATATTACTCAATAAGCACTTCTCCATCATGCTTAGAAAACATTGTCACCTGCCCCTTGACACTCAGTAGAGGGCACTTTGAAAACATGACAAACTGTAAGCTATTAATTTTGACTCATATAATTACATTTACTGTGATCTCAATACGGATAATCGTGCTTTACTACTTTTCAAATCTGTTAAATCCATTAGTGGAACATGCCATATGAAATGAAGCCACTGGTACTAATGGCCCTGAGATATTTAGGTTTAGGGGACTCTGTCCCAGTTTGTCATTGATGAATTCTTCACTTCCCACTGTGGCTCTGTTAATCATAGTGCCGCACAAAGGGTAATCCCTCATAAATCTCCTACTGTTATAGGAAAAACAGAGGCAAATATGTCTAGCAATGCTGAGATGTATAGAAAAAATCAGAAAGACAGCATGAACAATTTCTCACTTTTCCAGCAATGTTAACTGTCTTCTACAGAGTGCTCACATTAGAAAAAATGCCCAGACTGGCCTCCCAGCTCTGCTACCCATCATAGCATCCAAGGCACTTAAGCAGGTAACTTGCTCCCAGATGACACTCGGGAGCTTCCTCTCACCTTTGGAAGCTCTAATGACAACAAACCTTGGACGGACTTTGCACAGGAAGGTTCTATAAGTTAAGAGAGGAAATGGCGGGGGAGATGTCTACCTTAGTCTGCATGCTGTCTGTCAGTAAACGAGGAAGCAATGGATTTAGGCATATTTACAATAGCTTCAATTTAATGACTCTAACTTCAGTCACAACGATGCAGCAATGCAGCCTCCATATTGTGCGAGCATCTAGAGCACTTACCAGGGAACTTTTAAGCTAAAGGCATAGCTTTTCTTGCTGCACAATCATTCCTTCCAGAGCGATGGTGGACAGTGGCCCTCTTCAACCCAGGCAGCTGCAATAGGCCTATCAATCTTAGACCGTAGTAGTGACAGATCCTTCTCTTTTCCACAGCTTCTGCTCTAGGACTTGACTTGTTCTATCTAGAGAGGATTAAACCTGACAATTTGTTAGTTTCCTCAGAGAATCTCCTCATTTTACTATTTATTCGGAAGCGAATTTAATTTAAAAAGTCTCATTTTTAGTCTTCACAAATGTAGATGATTTTTATACATATGATTTCCAATGCACCTAGTATAATCTAGCAATGCACAATGCTGTGTCTACCTGGCCAAAAAAAAAAAAAAAAACCCATATGGAGCTATGAAGAAATACTTGCACTTCTTTCACGTTCTTTGAATTTTTAATCACCATTTATTTTCTCCTACAAATTTGCTGACGTTGCTTTTTTGTAGAAATGCAGAATGCTTGCTTTCTCAGTACTTAAATAAAATATAGGAACATCACTTCATGAATTGGTTGAACATCTTTCTTTTTTCTCACTTTTAATAGAAATATTACTTTCTACTTATATTGAATTATTAGTAAATTCTATTACACTTTGTTCTTTTTTTTTCTCTACTGACATATTCATAATTCAGCTAATATTTTGACTCCATTATCAAGCTCAACATATGACACAGAAGAGATGTTTATGTTTATTTTTTAAGTCTATACCGACCAGAATGTAATCTCTGGTAACAATCAAATAAGCTTTTGTATAGGAACTTTTGTATAGGAAAGTCTAAAGTGTTCCTCGCTTTGGTAATTGCAAACAATATTTAGCAGTCATTAGTTTTGGAACTTCTTAAGCCAGGACTTGCACACAGACCACTGATTTAGACAAGTATGTTCTTTTAATCACTTTTAGAAACCATTTATACTTTGGACTTTAAAGTGCTTTATGGCAATAAATTTTGCAAGTTCTAGAATTGTTCAAAGTATCCTTTTTCTGTTTGTCTAGTGACTGACCATTTTGCTGCTATTTGTTTTATTGCAGTTTGTCATTTTAAGAAATGGAGAAAAAGTGGATCCTATACATCTTTACAGCTTTGAAGATACTTATATCTGCCCCCTCTCATCACATTTCTTTTCTCACTTGAAGAGTCCTTTTCTATCTATGTATTTTTGTATGGCAGCATTTCAAAGAGCTTGTCATCCTTGACTGCCTTTTGACATCTCTTTTTTTCCTCTAATATATCCTCCTAAGGTGTTCTGAGGAGAACTTTTGAAGTATTCAAGTACTTATATGGTACTTGTGTGGTTTCTTTTTTTTAATCTATTTGCATTCTCCTTTTCTTTTTCTATTTTTACCAACAACAGAAAAGTATCATATTCATCCATGTCTCCTAAATGTATTATTTTTCATTATCTCTATCAGTGTAAACAGCTAGTGCAGAGGTTAGACTAACAAGGATACAGCTCCCAGCATAGTCCCTGTAACCATTATTTTTTTTTAATTAGGTGTCAGACACAACAGACTTTCCTTTCCATGGATACCAAAACTGGCACAGGTGACAGCTGACTCACAGTGATTAGTATTTTCACAATTTCACTAAGATTTTTATAATCTCTGGCTTGATATTACCTCATGACCATTTGTTCACACTCTCTTGGTCTGAAACATCTGCTACAGTCTTCACAGCTCTGGTATCTGGCCATGGCAGCCAGCGGGGACGAACGCCTATACAAAGAATTCATCCAGTCTTTTTCCTCTGACCCTTTTTACTTTCATGAATACTTTAATGTCTTAATCATCTTCTCCTGACTTAATCTCCCAACTTTTGGCAGGATTCCTATTTTTAATACCTTGTAGACAGTTGATAACTTTTCTGTTGTCGGTGAGTTTCAGCTCAATTTTTAAACTTTGGCCTACCTTATTATAAATTTACTTTTACTTGCCTGATTTCATGTTTTTGAAAATGACTTCCAGTTTAAACAGCCTCATTTATGCTTCTACTTGACCATGGTTTGGGGGAGTTCATTTTTACTTTGAGCCAATTCCTCAGCTGTTTGCAAGCTGCTTTTAGCTTCTCCTGTTACTTTCTTTTTAACTAGCTATTAACTATCTCTTTGTAATGCTGCTTTTGAAATTAAGCACCAGAGTTGCAAGATTTAGGGCTCTTTTATAAAAAAATTGATATAGCATGACACTATTTTAAAACAAAATATTGTTTTAAACATGACAATACCATCCTAACTTTGAAATAAGTACTACTGAAGGTCTCAGACTAAAGGTCTCAGAAAGGGAAACTAGCCTGCAAACAAATCACCTGACAGGCAGTGAGAACAAATCTCTGTCTGCCAGGTTTGTATTAGCCTCCACCTTTATTTCCCCTGCTCTTTCCTTTTCCCTTGACCCTTTTTCAGCAATTCCATTTGGATGTTCTCAGTGTCAAGTTTTTTTCGATTCTAAGAAATATCGAATATGGTCAGCAGCTCTAAACAATTAAGCAAGTATCATGATGGTGTCAAAGTGACTCTAAAGTGTTACTTTCTGACCTGATAAATTCAGTTCATGTGTGTAGTCTTTAGTATTAAAAAAAAAGTACACATAGCAATTTTTTGCTGCAATAGCTGTACAGCAAAAAAAATATCACCTTGAAGAAAGGAAGTTGATATTGCAAATTGTGTCTTACTAGCAAAAGTGTTAATGAATATCCTGATTTGTCAAGTTTGCTGATTGTGAAGCATCAGCAGCGACATAGTGGCTTATTGCTTCAGTGACCCTGTAAAATAAATATGACAGAAATGTTTGCAAGTCCAGTCCTCAAACTCCCAATATGGAACCTTCACTACTAGTGACTGCTCACAATGAAATCAGCTTCTCCAATATTGAGCTGCATTATCAATGCAAGAACATCAAGGTGCAAGAGGGTGACAGAAAAACTTCTGGTGGGAAAAAAAAAGAAAAAAAAACTTGTTTCCATTGTACATTGACTGAATTTGATAAGAAGTAATGGGGAAATTATCATGCAACAGCGCAACGCCATTTTTACAGAAACTTTCAGATAAAAAGTAATTTAAGACCTCTCTCATGAAGACCTGATTCATTGTTCAGCTGTCATCGTGACTACTCTGCCATTCCTGATGCTTCACAAATGCAGGATAAGGCAGAACAACAGTTGGCTGAAGACTCCTGGTAACAGAAAACTCAGCCCAAATGGATTCTTAACCATTTTATCGATATAAAATAAACGATAATAGAATTCCAAGTCATTCTCTCTTATCCACATTTGTTCTTGTCAGCATGGTAGAGATAAGGGCAGCAATAATTTATTTCTGTTACCACTGATGACAGATAACATTAAAAATAGCAGCTGTCTCAAATGAAAAAGGTCACTTTTTTCCCCCTAATTGTTGCGAGAAATGACATAAGTTGTGCACGAAAACTCCTGTAACAATACTTTTGGCTATATACTTCAAAAAGTATGTTCATTTTTTCATAGCATCCCGTTATGCTAGATTAATTCTAGAATTGGCTAGTAAGTAGCGTACCTTTAAGAATAATCAACAGGAAAAATCTATTAATTACTATAAATTATTCAATTTCCTATTAAATGAGTCCTGCATATAGCATTATTTCTTCCTAAGTCAATGAAACTTTGTTTCATAATAGCTTACTGGGTTAATATATTTTTAGAGTCACTCAATAAGCAATGATTCTGGAACAGGGACTGGTGTTTTTTTTCTTTTGCAGGCCCTCCAGTTAATGTCACATGCAACATATTTATAAACAGCTTTGGATCCATTGCAGAGACAACCATGGTAAGATATTTTACCTGAAACAATATTTAAAGTTCAAGTTAAAGAAAATTCAATGAGCTTAAAAGCAAGTTAGGGCTTCTCTTCACTTGGAACAAAACAGAGAAGGAAAGCCTTAAATCTCTTCCTGACACAGCTATAAGCAGAGAGTGAAAGTATTTAATTTGGCAACTCATTTCTCTAACAGAAAATACACTGTCATACTAATGAATATACTGGTTAAAATAAAGACAAGATTTTTTTTATTATTTCTAAGTTTTATTTGATTGTGGCACTGAATTCACTATTTTCAATTAGAAAGTTATTAGTCTTTTATAGAATTCCAGCTCTCCAAGCTCAAACATGTCAACTTATTATGTCACTTGGTAAACAGTATTTATAATTTCATTGTATATAGTGAAGACTGGGATGTAAACTTTATGAGAAAAGCCCTTTCTCCACAGAGCTAATGCATACAGACAATACCATAACCAAACTGGGGTGGTGGTGTATAAAATTTCTCTATGAATTCTCAGATTGGGGTAAATTTAATTGGATTACAAGCTTTTCTTAGATAAATCTATGATATGGCTATTAAAAGGGAAACTCAGAAGCTACAGTACATAAAGACTGGATATTTTAAAGAAAGAAAAAGAAAGAGGTCAAAGTTGAAAGACAGTAGAATTAAATATTGATCTGAGAATCACCTGGACAGTCGTATTTACTAGGTAAACCATTTCTGTTAATAAGGAACCTCAGTACCTTAGAGCAATGAGTATCCTTGATACAGCTTGATAACAGAGGAGATATAGGCATCCGTGCAAGTGCCTCACTTTTTCCTGCACAAATTTTAGTGTTAGAATGATTACTGCAAGCGATCAGGCTCCAGAGGTGCAAAACTATTAACAGTCAAGGAAACTAAACATGCTTGAGAGTAGTTATATAGTAATTTGGTGACAAATAGAGTTAACATAGAGAGATGATGAAAGAAGCTGTTGGAGTCTGAAAGACCCAGGTATAGTAAATGCTTTAAAAAACCGACAATTTCAGAGATCAGGATATATAGTTGGAAAGACAGAACACAGACGAACTAAAAATGATTGGTGTAGCCAAAAGAGAAGATGATGATGATGATCATCAATCATTTTCTATGATTCTATTTAGCATGGATTCACCAAGGGGAAATCTTGCTTGACTAACCTGATAGCCTTCTATGACGGAATGACCGGCTGAATAGATGAGGGGAGAGTGGTGGATGTCGTCTATCTCGGCTTCACCAAGGCTTTTGACACCGTCCCTCACAACATCCTCCTGGGCAAGCTCCGGAAGTGTGGGATAGATGAGTGGACAGTGAGATGGATTAGGAACCGGCTGGATGGCAGAGCTCAGAGGGTGGTGATCAGCGGTGCAGAGTCTAGTTGGAGGCCTGTAGCTAGCGGGGTCTCCCAGGGGTCAGTCCTCGGTCCAGTCCTGTTCAATTTATTCATCAATGACCTGGATGAAGGCACAGAGTGCTCCCTCAGCAAGTTTGCTGATGATACGAAACTGGGAGGAGTAACTGATACCCCAGAGGGCTGCGCTGCCATCCAGAGGGACCTGGACAGACTGGACAACTGGGCGGTGAAAAACCTCATGCAATTCAACAAGGCCAAGTGCAAGGTCCTGCACCTGGGAAGGAATAACCCCAGACACC